AAATGGAAAAACTCACTGACGATGCCGACTACGATACTGGCGAAACGTCTAGGAAGGTACCACGTTCACCTTCTACTCTGGAAATGATGATGCATACAATGGACTCCGGACAAGGTTCTTACCTCTAAGTCTTCCTACCAATGTAAGCAAGTTGCGAAAACAAGGTCAAATAACTTATGTACAGCGAAACGAGACTGCGACCACACAAAAGGCCACACCATCTTGGTCTTCATACCTTCTATTTTCTCAAGACTGCTTCTTCCATGCTTCCATCACTAAATACTTAATTTGTAATGAAAAATATCAATTCTTGAAGTTATCTTGTTAAAACATGTAGCATATGCAAATTATTATTTTATTTATATCTATCCTTTACTTTATTTACTTTTGTAGTCCTAATGAAAAGCCAAACTCTCGCCCAGATGAAGACCTTTTAAGCCGGATCAAGGCGGAAGCTGCACATGAATGGGACTTGGAAGATGCAACCATTGCTGATTGGCTTGCTGAACAGCTGGGTTGTCATGAGTTGGCTCGTCCACCCTTGCTCTCAGACTTCTTGATCAATCAAATGTCAGCTGGCCTTCACTCAATATTAACTAATTCAATAGAAGAGCGGACAACAGCCAATGGACTAAGTGAGTCGGCAGCTCGGAGGGATGGTGCGACTGAAACGGATCGTCTTTCGCCAACAGTCACGACCAGCACAACGGCTCCTACTTCTGTGCTTCCGACGATGCCGGCCTATCCCAAGTGTCAGCCCGCTTTTCAGGACTTTTTAGATGGCCTTAAACGGGAATGCGCCGTTGGGCAAATTAGAAGGTTAGTAGTAGTAATCGGAGTTATTGTTTTATTTATCAAATTCTGCTTGAAATTCCTACCTGCCCTCCTTAATTAACACCTTAATCTAGGCTAGTTTGCTAGAGTGATATTTACAGGTAAGAGAGTACTCAATGCACTTTGAAATGTTCTGTAGACTATTGATTTGTTTTTTGAGTTGTACGACTTATCTATTCTTTTACTTATGAATGGATTGTTTTTATAACTTCTGATTTTACTGTATTGTATACATTTTTATCGGTGTTTTTTTCCCGCTATACATAAAATGGACCCCGGTTCGATTCCCATTGGGTGTACTAACTTGACTCAGGCTTGGCCGAAATTGCTGTCTAACCTGCATGATATTACCTT